GGTATTTACAAGGGAATCATCATTCCCGGATTTATTGGGTGCTACAGGATGTCGTCCATCCACAGTATTTTGCGGGATGTTGACCGTGCCTTGAGGGAAGCATGTGCCGACCAGGCATGGGACCAGCAGATGCTCGGCATCGGCTTCTTTTGGCATTGACCAAAATCGGACCAACATCTTAAGCATTGCCAGACTTAGCTTGCCTTTTTGCCTTTTTTGCCTTTTTGCCCTTTTCCTGGTGCCTTTTTGTTGTTCCTTCGTTTTTCCCATTTCAACTAGCAAAAGTTGAACTGATTGCAGGGGGTCTAAGTCTGGCTCATTACGCATGTCTTTTCAGTCGGGCTGTTGGAGGCCAAAATTCAGGTAGTTGCTTTTGGTCAAGACTTGCTGCCGCAGAATGGACACGGGACTGGCACCATGCGCTGATTTGGGACTGAAAGCCTTTTTGGAAGGTTCCATTAGACATGCCGGTTTGTCTCAAACTAGGTGAACCCCACAAATTTGTGGTTGTTGCTTTGGGTTCCCTTCAAGCCAACCCCGAAAAGGGTACCCTCAACAAAGAGACTCCAATTCAGGTTCATGACGCATGAGTCTTAAAAGGGACACAACCTTTGCAGTACTTGGAGCTTTACCCGGCAGCTTTCACCGATTTCAACAAGTGTTGTCCATGGCCTCAGGCAGGGTTGTTCCCTAAGGGTTTTGTCAAGAAACTGATGAAACACTTGGTGGCTCCCAGCCATCCCTTAGCTTGGCCTTTTAGTGTTTAGTAGGGTTTCCATTTAATCCACTGAAAGTTAAACCTTTAGCAGGGGATCTGAGGGCAGCCCAGATCAAATTTTGGCAAGCTGAGTTGCAAGGCCCCAAAAGGTTCCAACCACCACTTGGGTTTGTGGCCGGCCGAAACTTAGGATCGCTTATACCTGGACCAGCGATCGCTGGAGAATGCCTGGCCTTTACTGGATGCAACGTGTGGAGTATCCAGACCAGGACGCAGGTTCCGGGGTACATTGTGTTTCTCTGAGTTTTGGATCCTGGTTTCTATGAAACTCAGGGAACATGTGCACTCAGACTTAGCTCACCGCTTTGCCTTTTTGCCTTCATGTCTCCTTTCAGCTGTTGCAGCCAACAAAAGCTAACCTTTTGCACATCGAAGTGAAGCCCAGGCAAAAGGTGCTGTAAGCCCTTCTTTTCCCATGGGTGCAGTGGGCGTAAGTGTGCCCGAAAGATTCCTTCCAGAGCGGTGGGCCCAAAACTAGGGTTCCGCTTTTGTGCATGTCAAGAATCCAAAAAGACACCCCTGAAGGAATCGGCCCCGTTCAGAGTTCGCTGTTGAGAAGCACCCCTAGGAACAGTTGGATTGCAAGGAAGACGGCGAAGCGTCGCGGGCAACGTCCGGGAGTTGTGCGGGTCCGAAGGAAGGTGTCAGAAGCAGAAAACGAGCTTTTGTGTTTCATTGGACATGATGCACAAGTCAAAACACTTTGGAGTGCACGACTGTCGCCTTTGTCCCAAATTGGTGAATGGGGTTGGGAAACAAGGAAAGAAGCCACTTTTCATGTCCCTGATTCTTGAGAAGCTTGCTGGGGTCTCCAAAACCATGTTATATTTGTTGGGTAGAATATGAGACAAAATCGCTATCCCACCCCCACACCCACACACACACACACACACACACCATCTTATCAGGAGCACCCCAGTGGGCCATGCCAAGTTGACCTCGGCTCGCAGGACTTCAGCGCAGAATTCCTGATGATCGACAGCAACGCCATGGACGCGTCTTGGCTTCGAGGAAGATGTGGCACTCACCGACTGCTCGCATACTGTGGATGGGCAAAATCCTGCCCCACCTAAGAACCCCTGGAATGATTCGATTCCCTTGCAAATAGAAACAAACAATGGTTTTCCATGGTTCTAAAGTGGTGCAGGATTTTGTCCATCCACAGAATGGAACCCAGCTCTCACTCCGACATCTCCCCTCTTTCAAGGATCACCCCAAGTTGCAGCCTTCATCCCAAATTGGCATGTCCAAAAGGTGTTGTTGCAACCGGCTGAAAAAATTGGAAATCTAGAGACCCCTGTTCCGTCCACTTTCAGGAGTTTGCTCTTCCCATCTTCCCCGGTTTGTTCTATGAGAAGAAGCCAGTCGATTTCTTTCCTTGGGCTCTCTCCTTCATGACATCTGTCTGGTTTCTTAGAGTCAGTTTTTCCCAAATCCCGGACCGCTAACTAGAATTAGGCCAACAAGCCACCAAATTCCCCGAAGAAAAGCGTAGTCAGTTGATCACTGCTGTCTCCTTCACCAGACTTGCGCAAGCTTCGTAGCCCCCGGTTTGAGACCAGAGGCGGTGTGGGATTCAGCTACCACAATTAAAACGATGCTTGTGTGAACATTACCATAATTGTTTACCTAAGCAGTTTTATCATCTAAACTTCATCTAAACTGGGTCAGCTACGACGAAGGTTCCTTTCATAGGGATCCAAATACTTATTTCAGTTGGCTTCTAAAGTGGTTGGTGGAAGTCCCCACCTAAATGATGTCCACCTTGAAGCTCCACCAGATGTCAACCCTGTTGGTGAAATCGATTGCAATACTGTGCGTGGACAAAATCCTGCCCCTGTTGGTAGGTGGTTTGTCCCAGTATTTAGAAGGTTTCATCCATCCCAACTGTTTTTTTTGTCCACAGTATTCAATTCGGGTGTGTCTTGTTTCAGACCCTCAAAACTGTTGCTTCCCTTGTAAAACCCCAAAATAGTTGCTCCCCTTGTAAAACCTACCAAAAGAGCGTTCCCCCCCAAAAAAAAGAAAGATGGACCTCTTGATCAACGCGTCGATAGGTGAAGCCAATGCACGCGGATCCCGAGCACAACATTTGCGGCCCAGAGCTCAAGTCGATGTCTCCCCAAGATTGGTGGTTCTTTGTTGAAGGTGCCATTTTTTGTGGCTGTTTGAGGGCAAACCAAAAATAATGTCGCTATTTTGGGGTCCCCTAAAAGGATGTTGGGATTTGGACCCGGGAAATTGATCTCATGCTGGTTTCCATCTAAGCCTACCACGCAAGAAGGGTAGCCTCAAGAAAGACAGACCCATATTGTTTTGAGGCGGACATACTGTTTTTGATGCGAACCTGAGGTTGGGCCAAGACACCCGATACCTGGCCCTTTGGACTTGGAAAGCCAATCTGGTTCGACTGTGGGATTTGGAAACCCCCAACTGAGGTACACAATTTTCTCGTGGAAGTAGACCATGTTGGGCTTGCCTCTCAAGGCCCCTCTCCAGTCGAGGTTTCATCCGAGGGATTGGGCGGGCGGAGAGAGCCGTGTCTCAGGCCAGAAGCACAACCCTGCGGATGCACGCTGTGATGCCACGGGAGGGCCGGCCAATCTCAAGGCGCGGCGCCTCGAACTGGTTCTGTTTCGTCAGCATGTATCATAGGCCCAGTGGCCCAGTGGGTTGCTTCCGTGTTTCCTTCTTCTTCTTTTTGTAAGGGTTCCCCTGTAAACTCAACCAACAAAAAAGGGTGCCCTTTTTTCCCAATGGCCACTGGGCATCTGAGTACTGTATGCAACAAGCAGAAGAAGGAGGAGGAGGAGGAGGAGGAGGAGGAGAGGAGGAACGTGAACCACACCAACAACGACAACTGCAAGTGCAGCCACAACCACATCCGCCGCTGCAGCAGCAGCAGCAGCAGCAATTAGATTGATTACATGGGGAACTCTGTCAACCAGTTGAGTTTCAGAGATGGGCCATGACACTGCATGTGTGTTTGTACATCTTAATATGTGCATAATATAAATATATATATACATATATACACATTGATATATACATATATATATATATGCGTACGCCTCGTGCTAAACATCTTTCGTTCCAGAACTCATCGCCGCAAGTGAACTTTGAACCATGGCAGGACTGCTTCAGCTGGATGTGGGGCATCTGGAAGGATCAGCAGAAGTGGGTCGAAGAGAAGCTGTCCGGGTCCACGGCACTTGGGCTCAACAAGGGATGCTCGGAGCTGGTCCTAAAGCCACATGGGTTGAACTGTGGTAAACGGTTTCATTTGGTTCCCCTTTACCAGGCCGATCAGGTCGAATTCTAGCAACCCTGGCGAAGGTGCTTCAATGTCTAAGGCAGATTGGCAGGTCATTGCCACGCACTTCAACTGCGGGCATCAGGTGGGCGTGAGCAAAGCGAACCAAATTGTGGATGAGTCAATCGAATGCGTGGCTAGGCCGAGTGGTACAAGAAGCTGCACCAGCAGTACGGGCTTGACTTGTTGATAACAGGCTGGGCACGTTGCACGTGATGCATTAGAGGTGTGTCGAAATAGGGGCGACCTTTTTGGTTTCCCTTCAAAGCTAGTTGAACGGGATTCTATTTTCTTGGTTTTACAGACACACCGAGATTCAATCTGCGGCAGGACATACCCATGATCAGCAAGTCTTCCACAAGTCAGGTCTGCTGGGAGGCGCGACAGAAAACGGCGAAGGCATCTTGCTGTTTCGTTTGAGCGGACCAATTTGTTCGGTGTCCACGTGTAACCAAAATGGGCTTCCAAAAGAAAGCGAACTGGGATCAGGTGTTCCGATTTGGGTTTGTCTTGAAATGGGGAGCCCCTAAAATGGTTGGTGTCCTTTCAATGTTCCATGAGAAGCAAACAAAGGGGCACCATCCCAAGGGGGTCTTTTTGCCAGCTTTCGTGAACAAATAATCGACCCCCCTCGTAGTGAAGGATTCCTCTTGAGGGGGTCGCCAATTTTCAAAAAGACCCCCCTGCACCATCAACCACATTTCTCCCAACCGGGTTGCTGAGCCTTGATCGATTGGATTGCCTCCGGTTTGACTGATGCGGATTCGAGCTTAGGTATGACATGCTTCATCACCGGGGGAGGCGGAGGCGCAGGGTGGTGGTTGCTTGGGGAATCAACCAACATGATGGTCCCTTACTTGAGGATCCCTAAATTCAGAGTTATAGTTCATCTGATCCAGTGGATGTGTTTTGATTGACAGGAAATCGTACTTAACATGCCAGTACACAATGGAAACTCGAGTTGAACTTGTTGTGAATAAATTGTACTTAAATGTGAACTGATGTGCAGAGAAAATTTTCTATTGGAAAGGAATTCCTGTGTAAAGTCTAAATTGAAATAGAAACATTATTTCTCAATGTCTAATCCAGAACGGAAAGTATGATTGGCCTTTTACCTTATCAAATCTACTGCAATTGAATTGTCAAGTTCTATTTGGCAAGGAATTCTATTCAACTAGATTCTAAGTTGCTAAGGTTGTGTCCGGGGAGTTTTGGTTGCGGGGTGAGTGACCAGCATCGCCCAACATCCCCTGCATTATTTGCAACATCGGAACTAGAAAATTGCGAGCATCATTTGTGTCATTCTACTTAGTTGTTGTTTTTGTGGGTGGTTTTGCTTGTTGTTGTTTGTTCTCGAGCTGCTTTTGGGTTTTTGACTTCGGGCAGAGCTGATCCAGTGGACAGACTGTCTGAGGATTGTTGTTTTCAGTTTCTGTGCTTTTGGTTGCTTTAGTTCTAGTTTTGTGTTTATGGTTTTTCCAGGTTTATTTGCTTTCTTTAGACACTCGGAAATGCCTTAGAGCACCAGAAAAGACTGCAACCTGCACATATCCCGAACAAACAATAGAGATAAGTGCAACTTCAGGAATTGCACTCCCGCAGACCCGTTTCCAGAGTGCACTTTTGAGAAGCTGCCCTCACTAGCCCCCCCCGCTTTCCGTTTTTGAATGGTTATAAGTCGGGGGGGTCATGTAGTCCCCTAGCTGTAGTTCCAACCTGCTTAAACACCCCAGTTGGTTCCGATCCGAAGCTGTCCAAGTTAGAGGGAAAGGGCGGATTTGGGGAAACAGAATTGACAAATCACTGAGAGATCCAGCCGTGAAATCGCCAGGCATTGTGTCAGAAGGCGATCCTTCCAACTACCGGAGCAACCAGTACGGCCCCATGACCAGCATATGGTGTCCAATTTGCGACAAACAAATCCGACTTGGGTCGCAAGTTGCTGTTTTTCCCCAGCAACTGTCGCTGTTTTTTTAGGGTAACGTGAGAGTTTTGGTTCTTGCAGTGGTAGCTTAGCCGCCCTCACGATCCAGATCAAACCAGAGAGGAGAACACCTCCGTCCGGGCTGATCTTGTTTCATGGGCACGGGTAAGCTTGCCTGCAAAAACGCAGCGTTTTGCAGGGCGTGCCATTGATATGGAGCCTGTTCACTTTTGGTTTATCAAACCATGAAGCAACAATGGAGGCCCAAGACTTGCAGGCCCTCAGTAGGGAATGACCCTGGGTGTCGGGGACATTAGGGATTCCCTTAAGGGACACCAAAGGGATGGTTTATGGCTATGGAGGTCATTCTCTCATTCCCTGCCTATCGAACCAGCGAGACAAATGAGCTTGGGGCTGGGTGAGGGTCTTGGAACGGGCTGCTGAGGCTTCTTTGACTTGACCATCAGCAAGAAGGAGATCGTCCTGGAGTCGGTCAATTACAATGGAGACACTTGCTCACAATCCGGCGTCTGTCTCAAAATAGGGACCTGCTTGCTGGATGGCTTTGCAGGAAAGCCAGGAAACCAACTACCTGGAAGGGTTTGTAATGAGAAAGGTTTCCATCCACCTATTGAACATGTACCGAATGTGTAGAGGTGCCGACGCTTGTCAGCAACACATGAGCGGTCATGAGTCCTGGATGGTTTGTTTGGGACTAGAGAGACGAGCCAAGGGGACGGAACCCGAATTGTCCCATGTCATTTTGGGTAATGGCCAACGCTCAACACGCCTGACGGGGTCCATGGACCCAGTCATCAACCTCCGAGCTCCAAGGAGACACCATGACTCAGCAACGGAGATTCGCTGTGTCCGCGGAAGTCGGGAGTAGGCAAGTTTGTCACGTGGAAGAGTGCGTCCCAAATGGCTTGCAAGGCTCTTGCTGCCGTATATGCAACATGTGTGTTCACAACTAGGCATGCTTGCACGAATCCTATCGCCTACTTTGATTTGCTGCGCTATTCACAGCGGAGACATGGATGATTCAGTTTTGTTCTGAGTATTGCACGCTGTAGAAACAATGCAACATGGGAAACGTACCAGCATGTTCAGTGTTGAGGGCTCCAAAAAGCATAGGCGTTGGCCAATTGAAACATCACCTTGTTCACCAAGAGGAAACCACCCTTTTGGGGTCTAAGAACCCTTGATTTATTCAGACAGAGGTGTAACTTTGTTGGAAGCTTGGAACCGGGGATGCCGTGAATTTGCAATCCAACAAGACTGGCAAGGATGAAGCTGGTGCTTGCAGTATTACCAGGGTATTGTTCTTGGGGAGTAGTATTGAGATCACCCCCAACAGGCCACACTAGTATTTGCGCCGTTGGTGACATCCAAAGCCATGTGCACCTTCATTAGCAGGCCATGGTTGGCCAATTTGCCGAGGTGTCTCTTGGAAAGTACTCAGTGGAGCCCAAAGCGCGGCCCTGACAGTGCAAACAAAGTCTTTGCAGGCTGAGCATGCATGATAGTCTAGATATAGAGTTTTGCCAGAAGCGCAGACACGTTAAAAGGGGCAAAAAGGGACAGAGCGACTGGGCGAGTACTCGGACTGCACTGCTTGGTCTTGCGCTCCATTTGCACATGTGCATGCTTTGCTTCATGCAGTTGTCCAAGGCTTTCATTGTGCAACTACAACAAGTATCGGAATTCACGAAAAATATGGTTTAATAATAATATAAATAGATCTGTATATGTGGACAAACATGTATAATGATTATTATATACGAGTCATTTGAAGAAGGTTGATTGTCGAAACGGGTTGATTGATTGGGGTTTTACGTATTGAGGTTAAATAATGATTTAAACCTAAATCTATTTATTTTTGTATTAATTAATTATATTAAAATATATATATATATAAATATGTATTTGTGTAATGTTAATAAATATAGTAGATTTTAATTATATATTTTCGTTATATATATATATATATTATTGTATTATATAAAAATAATTTGGTTAAATATTTGAGTTGATTTGATATTTATAATTTGAGAATAATTGAAAAATTTGGTTATGGGTTGATTTAATATATATGTATAATTTTATGTTGGTTATTGTTTTTTGTGTTTTTCTGTTATGTTTTTAATAATGGTTTACTATTATTATTTTTAGTGTTATACAATTAATTAAATTGATTGCTTTTTTAATTAAATAAACAATAATATGTATTATATTTAATTTTAGATATTTATTATTTTTTTGGGAGCAATTGGGTTGATGATATATTTTTATATAATTTATTAATTTTATTTATTTTTTAGTTTTTTACAAAAATATGATTTTATGGATATATTTTTGCTTAAGTTTATTTATTTATATATATATTGATTTTATTTTTGTTTGTTTTTAACATTTTTAGATATTTATTGATTTTTTAGGAAGGGGGTCGGCTTATTTGTTGGATATAACATTTTGGAAACGATTATTGGATAATCCTCGGATAATCAGGACTTATGAAAATTTATAAGGGTTTATGAGAGCTCGAACCATTTTTTTGTTGTTTGTTTTTGTTTTTATTTTTTTTATATTGTTTTTTGTATTTTTTAATATAATTGTAAATGTTTCGTATTGCTCGGCTTAGCCTAGTTTGAGGGAAGGGTCTAGTGTTGGGAAGGTCCGAATACCTGAAGCTGGCTCCAGATAAAACAGACAAGCCGGCCTCGCCTGGTTGGGCTGGGCCATAGGCTAGTCTCAGATACATCAGATAAGCTTGCGCTGGGCCTGAAGCTAGTCTCGGGCAGCTTGGCTGGACCTTGCTTGAAGCTAGTTTACGACGGGCTGGGCAGCCGCACTGAGGGGGCTGGGCTATGGCTGGGCCTGAGGCCAATTTCAGACACGTCAGATAGGCCTGGCCAGCAGGCGGATTGGGCTGGGCTAGACTCTAGTTGAGCCCATAGGCTGAGGCCTGCGAGTCTCAAACAGGGTGGGCTTGGGTGGGGTTGGCTTAGGCAGGTTGCTGGTTGGGCTGGGCCTGAAGCTAGTCTCAGCCACGAGGCTGCGAAGCCATGGGTGGGTTCGGGCAGCCGGACTACGCTGCTGGTTGCGCCTGGAACTTGGGCTGGGCTGAGCTGTGCTTGGGCGGGTTGCTGGATGGGCAAGGCAGTCGTAGACACGTAAGACACGCCAGCAGGCGGGCTGAGGGACTGGGCCTGAGGCTAGTCTCAGGCTGGCATACTTTGAGACCAGTCTCAGACTGCGCCGAAGGGGCTGGGCTTGCTGGATGACTTGGGGCCAGACGCGAGCAGGAGGTCAAGGCCTGGCCAGCCTGGGCTGAGTTGCTTGGGCAGCCGGACTGAGGGGCTGGGGCACGTCAGACAGGCTTAGTAGCTGGCATAGCTTGAGACCAATTTCAGATACGTGAGACTGGTCGTTGGCCTGAGACCAGTCTCAAACACGTTAGACAAACCTGACCTTGGCACTGCTGGTGGGCTGGGAGCTGGGGGCCGGCTTAGTGGCTGGCATGTCCTGAGATGCGCCGGGGTCTGGGCTGGGCAGGCTGGGCTGAGCTTGCTGGATGACTTGGGGCCAGGCCTGTTTCAGACAAGCTTGGGCCTGAGGCTGGGTGGGCTGGGCTGACAGGCCTGGCCAGCAGGCGGGTTGCTGGTTGGGCTGGGCCTGAACCTAGTCTCAGACACGTTAGACAGGCCTGGCCACCAGGAGGTCATGCTTGGCGGGCCGGCAAAATTTTGGTCGGGGAGGGGGTTGGGGGAAGGGAAAAGCGAAGATTCTCTTTAGAGAAGAGATCTGAGCGCCCTTGGCCCCTTTGGGGCCGAGACGAATTTTGTATATATCTATATATTGTTTTGTGGTTCTTTCTTCTGTTTTTTTTTTGTTAAAGGGTTCTTATAGTAAGAGAAAAGACCCGATATTACATTGAGGTGTTCGTGTTGACTTGGAGCGTTTTGCATGGTATTTACCGCAGATTCGTATTTTTGCTTGATATTGAAGTTTCGATTGCTCGGAGGCTGGCACAAAGTGTGATCGCGATTTCTGACCTGGAGTGTTTTGTATAGTACTTACTGCAAATTCGTGTTTTTCTTTAATATTGAAGTATGTTTCGGTTACGCGGACTCGTACAAAGTATGGTGGCGGTTTCTAACCCGGAACGTTTTGCATGGTTTTACCACAGATTTGCATTTTTGCATGATATTGATATGCATTTCGACGTAGGCTCGCGCAAATTCGATTTTTTTGATTTTTAGCGGTTGCGGGGACTTTGAGGGTTTTGTCTCGTAGTCCGGCGGCCTGGGTTTCCAGCGAAAGGTCCTAGGCTCGGTTCTCGCCCTGTCCGCACGAGTTTGGTTCCCTTTCTTTGGGTATACTTGGGTAACGTTTCTGTGTTATGATGACATCCGGGGATACTCTAATTCATAACAACAACAAAATAGCAACAGCAATAGCAACTTATTTATAGAAAAAAGAAATATAGAGACAAAGCAACGAGAACAAATAAAGCAGCTACTTAGCAAAGAAACTAACTAACTCATTAAGTTAGTAAGCATCTAATTGATTATCTGACTATTCCAGATGTATCCTGGTGAAACGAACTCGTAATGAAGAAGGTTTGTTTTCCTTTATAGTGATACTTACGTAGCCATGGGCACGGTGATTTTGGCGATGCATACATACACACAACGATGGCGTTGGCTTCAACGCGTGTCTGTTGTATTCTTTTGCGCGTGTCTGTTCTAGATCGTGTCTTTGTCTTTGTACATATATGCGCGAATACTACAAAATAATGAAGTTGCTGGTAACCACGTATCCGCCGCATAAGCGTGATTTTGGATGCCCATCACTGTTTGGGGTCTTTTGCCGGCATAATTTGTCGTTTTTTTGTTTATATTTCTGTTTATTTTTTGGTTTTTTTGTGGCTGATTTTGTGGGTTTGTTTTTGTTTATCTGTATTTGTTTGTGTTTTTGTTGGTTTTATTTTTATTTGTTATTGTTAGTGTTTTATAGTATTAATCGATTTTCTTGTTTTTGGATGGTTTATATATGGTTATCGAGAATTTTTATTGATTGTATTGGGGCTTCAAGTAATTGGCGTTTAACGAAGTCGTATTAGTCGGGTTTGGGTATAGATGTACTATTATATAATATTTCAATTAGTTTAAATATATAGGATATTGTTTTATGTTTTGTTTTTTTATTTTGTTTTTTTCTTTTGTATTAATTTATAATATCTCTTTATTTTTGTTGTTTGTGTTTGCATTTTTCCGTTTTTTTTGCTTCTTCTTCTTCTTCTTTTTTTTTTTAATTCCTTTCATCTTTGTATTTGTTATTATTGATTCTTTTTCTTTCTCTGTCTTTTTCTTTCCTTCCTTTTTTCTGTGTTCCCGATTATTCGGGGTTGGTCTTTGTTTGTTTCTATTTGTTTGTGTTTTTGTTGGTTTGTGTTTTTATTTGTTGTTGTTAAAGTTTTGTTGTTTGTATTTGGTTATTTTGGTTTATTTTTGTTTGTTTGTTTTTTGGTTGATATTTGTATTTTTGTATTTGTGTTTTTATTATTAATCGGATTTTAATATAGATTTATATTTGTACGAACCATTAAATCATGTAAACATATATAATATTGTTACGATATTTGTAGCCTTGAATGGCCGTTATATTGGCCTGGATGAATTTATTTGGGTGGAAAAATAATATATATATATTAGAACGATAATGAATATATTTTGATATAGGTCTAAAAATTAAAAATAATTAAAGATTTCTTAATAATTGTTCGATATGTATTTTCCTACAATAGTAATAATTAAGGAAGCATTAAGCGATTATATCGAGTATTTTTTAGACAAATATGTATTGTTAAAGCACAAATTGATAGTAATTATTGCATGACAGTATCCATAAAGCACTGTTTATTATCTTGGATAGTATGATATACAACCTGGACGGTTTATGTTATTCCTTTCGACGGCTACATAAATTTCGAATACCATTAGGAAAAAAATAACGAATGAATGAATTACACATTTAACGAAAATTTATTTTACCTTCTATAACAATATAATAAATTTCCAAAACAGACTTACGAATGCAGAAATGTATTTTGTTCGGAAAAATTTCCGAAGTCGGAGAAAATATTGTCTTAACAGAACGAGGCATATTGAAAATACGAATAATACTGAGATTATAGTCGGATTTAAAATCCGACCTCGTGTTACTAAACAAAATTTCTAGCGCACCTTAAGCGATACGACGACTTATTTATAACCTGTCGTTCGCAATATTGTTAGACAGATAGAAAAGAGATAATTACACAAGACATCGGGCAATAGACGAACATCACGAACAATATCGTCGCGGAATTCGTAACGAAACAATAACATATTATATAATTTCAATAACATCCATCGACTTCGACGTTAAATTTACGATTACTATGGGATAGTCTAATAATATCCTATAATTATTTCACTTAC